AAATTGAAGAGTTTCACTTGTCTTTTTTTATTTATTTTAAGGGTTTTTCTTACTTTTTATCATTATGGCACGTGTAAATTAAGGCTACGTTTATTTTAGTGTATTTTTTTATTACTTTGTACCATAAGAAAAAGTTACTAACATTATTTTTAAGACAAATGACAAATAAATAATTTTAATAAGATAGTTGATAAAATAAAATTTAATTTTTATTTTTTTATAAATAATTAAATAAAAAATTACAATAAATACATCTCTCATGATTCATCTCTACTCTTTAAAAAACTTAATTTTTTTTAGAAGAAAAGAACTCTTAATTTCATTTCACTAAAATGAAAAATATACCATAGTTTTCGGGTAAATCTCAGTGCCTCAACTTTTTAAAAATCCATATTTTGATCACCTAGTTCATAACCCTAACAAAATGATCACTTAACTTCTCTAAAATCAACATTTTGATCACCCAATTCATAATCCTAACAAACTAACCTAAATTTTTAAGTTACACATCCATTCCTTAGCCGTCATTTATATTAACTAAAATGTCAAACACCACCTCAATGTTTGGGAGATAATTTCTATGATGAAGTTGGAAGCCTTTATTGTATGCATAACCCATTGAAATTATTTGCACCCAAATGGTGTTAAGGGGATTCAAAACCATAGTTTTAACACATTTTGAATCATTCCTTAACCACTTGTGCCAATCCCAAAAAATTGAAATTCTTGATTTAGTTCAAAATTGTATTTAATATTGCCATTGAGTTTCTCTTTCATAGAATTCATCGAATGAAAGAATTATTGGGACAACATCTTACACACCATATTGTTCATTAGGTAGAAATAAAAACATCTATGATACTTTGTTTTCATTATTTGTAAAAATTACAATTCAAAAACTCTAAAAATAAATAATATAAAAAAATTTTAGTTATATTCCTTAATTAAAAGAGTATCAGTCAAATTAGAGTTTTCAGCTTTACCAAAAAGATAACCCAGACTTTTAAACCCTACATTACATTTTCCATTATTCTACACAATGAGTAATTAATGATTCAATAAATTAAAAAGTTGGTTGACAATTTTGTTAGGGTTATGAGTTGGGACCAAAATATTAGTTTGGAAAAGTTAAGTCTCCTCGTATTTTTATTTGGATTTGTCTAATAGGTGTCATTATGATATAGGTTAAGATTTATTAATTAAAATATATGTAATTAATTTTATATACATTTTCATGTCAAAGTCATAAATTTTTTATAAATTTTAAATATAAATATTTTATTTTATTTTATTTTTATATTTTATATTTTATATTTTATTTTATTGGAATCTTACATAAAATTTTGCATAAAATTAATTACAAATATTATAATTAATTATACTTAACATATATTTTAAGGGTATAGATTAATTTTTTTTTTTTAAATAAGAGGAAAATTGGGCCTGGCCTTTAGCTATTGAAATCTTGTTTCTCAAAAAAACCTTAAAACCGTGACTGACTTCCACTAGTGTTTCTCCAACGCAACCAAAATTCCTCGTTCTCAGAAGTTCGCTCGCCGGCTCGGGGCGGTCTTCATCCAAAGATTGAGGTACGCTGCTTATTCCCATCAAAACAACTTCAAAGTTTGTTAATTTTTCAGCATTTGTAGTTAGATTGAATCATAATTCATAAAGCCTAAGGCTTTAGTCTGAACCAGTGAGTTCTCATTGCAGTTTTCACGAGATGGCAACGGAGGGTGGGAAAAGCTTTGCCAGGAGAGATCGTCTCTTGGAAATTGAAGCAAAGGTTAGGACTTGGTGGGATGAGAAGGATGTGTTTAGGGCTGAACCTGGGGAATCTCCTCCAGCACCGGGGGAAAAGTTCTTTGGTAACTTTCCTTTTCCTTATATGAATGGTTTTCTGCATCTGGGGCATGCATTTTCGCTCTCCAAGCTTGAATTTGCTGCCGCATACCATAGATTGAGAGGTGCCAATGTTCTGTTGCCTTTTGCTTTTCACTGCACTGGTATGCCTATTAAGGCTTCTGCTGATAAACTTGCTCGAGAGATCCAATTGTTTGGAAACCCACCCGTCTTTTCCCATGAGGTGGAGGAGCCATCAAATCCCAAAGAAGAATCTCAGGAAGCAAATGAAGGTGTCCCTGATAGGTTTAAGGGGAAGAAGTCTAAGGCAGCTGCAAAATCAGGTGGGCAGATGTTTCAGTGGGAGATCATGAGAAGTTTTGGTCTCTCGGACAGTGAGATAGCTAGGTTCCAGAACCCTTATGAATGGTTGAAATTCTTTCCTCCGTTGGCAGTGGAAGATCTGAAGGCATTTGGGTTAGGTTGTGATTGGAGAAGATCATTTATCACCACCGATATGAATCCCTTCTTTGACTCGTTTGTAAGGTGGCAGATGAGGAAGTTGAGAGCAATGGGTAAGATAGTAAAAGATGTCAGGTACACTATTTACTCGCCCTTAGATGGGCAGCCGTGTGCGGATCATGACAGGGCAACTGGTGAAGGAGTTCAGCCCCAAGAGTACACTGTAATCAAGATGGAGGTCATGAAGCCTTTCCCTCCTAAGTTGGGGCCTTTAGAGGGGAGAAGAGTTTTCTTGGCAGCTGCAACGTTGAGGCCTGAGACAATGTATGGGCAAACAAATGCTTGGGTGTTGCCTGATGGGAAATATGGAGCTTTTGAAATCAATGAAACTGATGTGTTTATTCTCACAGAAAGAGCAGCCCTTAACCTTTCTTATCAAAATTTCTCCAAGGTGCCTCAGAAACCAACATGCTTGGTTGAGCTGACAGGTTATGATCTTATTGGCCTTCCTTTAAAATCTCCTCTCTCATTCAATGAGCCCATATATGCTCTTCCTATGTTGACCATTCTGACAGATAAAGGTACTGGAATAGTGACCAGTGTTCCTAGTGATGCACCTGATGATTATATGGCTCTACATGACTTGAAGGCGAAACCAGCTTTGCGAGCGAAGTATCGTGTGAAGGACGAGTGGGTGTTGCCCTTTGAGATTGTACCCATCATCAATATTCCAGAACTTGGAGACAGGGCAGCTGAAAAGGTCTGTATTGATCTGAAAATTAAAAGCCAGAATGACAAAGAGAAGCTTGCAGAAGCAAAGAAGCTGACATATTTGAGAGGATTTACAGAGGGAACAATGCTTGTTGGGGAATTTGCAGGGAATAAGGTCAATGAAGTTAAGCCGTTGATAAGAACCAAGCTTATTGAGACTGGCCAGGCAATAATGTACAGTGAGCCTGAGAAGAAAGTTATGTCAAGATCTGGTGATGAATGTGTTGTTGCACTTACAGATCAATGGTATATCACCTATGGAGAGCCAGAATGGAAGAAGCTAGCTGAAGAGTGCTTGATTCACATGAATCTGTACTTTGATGAGACTCGTAATGGCTTTGTGCACACTTTAGGTTGGTTGAACCAGTGGGCTTGCTCTCGTTCTTTTGGGCTCGGGACTCGAATTCCTTGGGATGAAGAGTTCCTTGTGGAATCATTATCTGATTCAACCATATACATGGCTTATTATACAGTTGCTCACATCTTACAAAATGGGGACATGTATGGAAGACTTACTAATGCAGTGAAACCTGCCCAAATGACTGATGAGGTCTGGGATTTTCTCTTCAGTAGAGGTCCATATCCTAAATCTTCTGATATTCACTCCTCTATTCTTAATAAGATGAAGCAAGAGTTTGAGTACTGGTATCCTTTTGATCTCAGAGTCTCTGGGAAAGACCTTATCCAGAATCATTTGACTTTTTCCATATACAACCACACAGCAATCATGCCCAAGCAGCACTGGCCTCGTGGGTTCAGGTGCAATGGGCACATTATGCTCAATTCTGAGAAGATGTCCAAGTCTACCGGAAATTTCAGGACACTTCGCCAGGCCATTGAGGAATTCTCTGCTGATGCCACACGCTTCTCTCTGGCTGATGCTGGAGATGGTGTAGATGATGCAAATTTCGTGTTTGAGACTGCAAATGCTGCAATCTTACGGCTTACTAAGGAGATTGCATGGATGGAAGAGGTTCTAGCTGCAGAATCATCTTTGAGGACTGGTCCCCTCTCCACATATGCTGATAGAGTTTTTGAAAATGAGTTAAACATTGCTGTTAACACAACTGAGCAGAATTATAAGGATTACATGTTTCGGGAGGCTCTAAAAACTGGTTTCTATGATCTTCAAGCTGCCAGGGATGAATATAGGTTCTCTTGTGGCAGTGGTGGCATGAATCATGATCTGGTATGGCGTTTTATGGATGTGCAGACTCGTCTTATTGCTCCAATATGCCCTCACTACGCAGAGTATGTCTGGCGGGAGCTTTTGAAGAAGCAAGGTTTTGTAGTTAAAGCTGGCTGGCCTACTGCTGATTCCCCTGATGCAACCCTTAAGAAAGCCAACAAGTATTTGCAAGACTCCATTGTTTTGATGAGGAAGCTGCTTCAGAAACAAATTTTGGGTTCCAAGAAAGCCAACAAAAAGGGGGCTCCTGTTACATCTCTCACCGAGGATAAGTTAAAGGGCCTCATATATGTTAATGAGCAGTTTGATGGTTGGCAAGCAGAATGCTTGAGGATACTCCAAAGCAAGTTTGACAACAACACAAATACTTTCGCTCCAGATGCGGAGATTTCGGAGGCATTGCAGAAGAGTAGCGTTGGTCAGTCTACAAACTTCAAACAGACCCAGAAGCTCTGTATGCCATTCTTGAGATTCAAGAAGGATGAAGCAATTAAACTTGGGGTTCATGCCTTGGATTTGAAGCTTCCATTTGGAGAAATTGATGTCCTTCAGGAGAACTTGGACTTGATTAAGAGGCAACTGGGTCTTGAAGAGGTGGAAGTTTTGTCTGCAACTGATCCTGATGCCCGTGCAAAAGCTGGTCCTCTTGTGTCTCTATTAAATCAGAATCCTCCGGCTCCTGGAAATCCAACTGCAATCTTTTTGACGAGGTAAAACAGAATATTGAACTTATTTTAACATGTTATGTCATATCTCAATGACATGCTCTTTTTTGGACCATTTGAATGGATTTCTTCTATTTGTATTGCATTCTCTTCTATGAAAATTTTTTGCTTTTAGTGTTCCTGCTGTCAAGAACATTCTTTTTTCTTTTTCTTTTTTTTTTTCCTTTTCTGTTTTTTTGTTTGGAATTTACCACCTATGAAATTAAATTAAAAGATATATGCATGTAAACTTCTTTTTCGTTTTCTTGAAAATTAAGTAGGATTTAAACTAGAACCTGATTTTGCAGGCTCCTGTTTTTTGGTAACCTTTGAGTGACTAGTAGTAAAACAACCTTTTCTGCCAGCAATTCTTTTGTATAATTTATAACACCGTAGATGATTGAGCTTTATATGATTATGTGGAAGTTAAAAGCATGTTGTTTAGCATTCTCTTCATTAAGAAGTCTCCCGATTTTTGTCAATGCTAGAAGGCCATGACATTCCTTCTAGTGGATTTGCTATCTCTATGCCACTTCCTTGTCTAAGAAATTTGTGACTCATGCTATTGATATTCTCACCTGTTAACAGATAATTTGAAAACACAAGCCACACAGCTAAGGAATACTGTGCATGATTTACTTGACTTGAAGACAACTAGGCAGGTGGTTTTCTGGGTGGATGCATGTTTACTGGAGTCAAACGTGGGGTTTTCAGGAGACTTTACTATTGTCTGCGGTTTATTTCCATCCTGGGTGAACTGTTAAATAAGTTTTCTTTGTCTTGTTTTTGCTAATTATGTGTCAAACCCAAACAAAACATGTGTTTTGCAACAGTTGTTATTTACTCTTACCTGTATTCTGATGGACAAATATACAACTTTTTTTTTTTGTTATTACAACACAATTTTTGGGTGGGGGAATTCATGATCCAAGTTATGGACCTGGAAGGTGCACTCTCTGTGCTAGGCAAATATATTTTTCATCCGAGGCTAATTTGATTGTAATTGTCTATTAGATTCATTCTTTTTTGGGAGGAACGAATGGTATTTGTTTTAGTATGTTTGGATTGGGATATGGGGGAAAGGAGTGGACGGGATGGAAAAAAAATCTTTTATTTGGTTATAAAAAAAAAATTAGAGAAGATGACAGGAGAAAAATTTTGTTTATTTTATTTTTTTAATTTAATTATTTATTCAAATGAAGAAAATAAACAAATATAATTTTCTTTTCTTCCTTTCAATTGTATTTTTTTCAATCCAAAAATAAGGTTAATATTAAGGATTTTTTTAACATGTGCTTTGAAGGTATAGGTTAAGAGTATTAAAAAAAATAAAAAATAATATTTAATTTATTAATTCTTTAATTAAATTTATTTATGTGATATTAACTCTAAAATTAATGTTTATTTTTATTTCTTTTATATAAATTTATTGAAAAAAAATGCTCGTTAAAAAAATCCTAACATTAAATACAACAAATTTTTCTATGCACGCACCCCATTTTTGGATGATATATCATCATGTGATTGGATTTTATACCTTTTCTAACAATGCATTCTTTTATTATTCAGGAAAATTTGCACCGAGCCCTTTGGCTCAAGTGGCAGTAGCCACTCGCGGTGCATTTTCCCCCTCTCCCTGGGCTGGGTTCGACCCAATCCCTTGTAAAAACCTGTTCAAAAAAAAAAAATTTATTCAGGAAAATTTACATTGATTTTCACAACTCTCACGCAAAACCATTAATGTTGAGAACTGAAGTGCTTTTATATCGAAGGTCTGAGAAAGTATTCAGCAAAAAATCCCATGATATTTTCATTGGTGGATAGGAAGGAACGAGACTGAGCTCTAAACATGTAGGAAGGAAACAGACTAACCTTTATCATTCGAATTGTTGGAGTTGCTCTCTTTTACACAAATTGCCCTCTTAACAACTCTTTCGTTGTGCATTTTTTCTTAAACCTGCTTTTTGTTGAATATTTTGGGTTTCTTTTTCTCTTGTGTTTATTAACAGAAACATCATAAACCTGTGAAAATCAAGGTAACATTGAAATTTGTTTCACAAGGCGAAGCTTCTTTGGTTGACATTTTTTTTTTTTTGGGGGGTTAAGATTAACTTTTGTGCTGAGAAAATTTTGAGATAAAAAATTTCTCTGCATTGGCATTATATCTAGAATTTATGGTTTACATTACTAGTGTGTTTCTCCTGCATTTGCGAAATCTTTCATTTATTTTGTCCAGGCAAGGTTAGTTCATGTTGATAAAAACCCTGGCGTTCCAAAAGGTGAAGCAGAGAATGAGTTGATTGAGGTTTAGTTGAACAATGTTGATTTGTAATTGTACTTTTAGATTTCTTTTAGTTTTTTAACATTTAAAATTATATTTTATATATATTATATATATTTAATATTTATTTTAATTAATATTTTATATAATTTTAAAATAATAAGGA